AAGGAAAAGCAGGGACTGAGGGGGAAAAAAAAAAAAAAGTAAGGTAAAGATACAACCAGATTGCACTGCAAGAAGGCAATTATGGTGTAGAAACCAGGTATTGCATTTCCTATTTCCCAGCCTTGTGCTCTAAAGGCTGAATGTGCCCATACATATCCTGATTCTTTATGCAGGGAAACTTTTCAGTGGAATCTTGGTTTTTTCCTTCTCTTCCCTGCTTTTCCCTCCCCAGGAGAGTGACTGCCAAGGTTAAGCAAAGATTTTGTAGCGCAGGATCCAGCTGGGGAATGAAGTGAGAGATTAGGTAAAGACTACAAAGGTGCTTTTTCATTTGCACTTGTTTTAAATTCAGAAGCAGTGATTCAGAGGAGTATCTGTATTTCAGAACTTACATTGTGACAAGACGTTTCACTTGACACTAATTGCCAAGAGACAAATATAGCTTTCACACTGAACTGCAAGTGCTAAGAAGATGCTCAAATTTACTTGACTTGGCTTGCATTAAAAAAAAAAAAAAAAAAAAAAATCAGTCAGTCATGGGGAAAAAAACCTCCAGATTTTAAGGACAGGGGAAGACAAACTAAGCAGGCGTCGTGGATATCTGTAAGAAAGTTTGAGATTAAAATTTCAATCTTATTTTTCAGTTATTAATTTAGTAGCATAATGCATGTGAAAACTTGGACTGTTGTTTTGCCATGTTTTGGAGAAGCTGCTGGCATGATATCAAATGGGGCTGGAACCTCGGAGCAAGGCTTAAGCTGGGAAAAGCTGTTGCGTTTAGGGCAGTGAGAAGCTGCTCATGGGAACCTGGTGCTGTTCATCAGAAGAACTTTAAATCTCTGCATTTCAAAGGATGCTATTTCATAAATTCCAAGTACGTGATTGTAAGTGCTGGTCATAGCCAAATGCTTTGTACCCGATTTTCATCTGGATTACACTTTATGTAAATAAGTTGTATGCCTGTCTTAAGACTGTCTTGCAATGTAAAAGAGCAGTAGTGGAAAAGTCAGAACATTGGCTACTGGAAACATGCAAGCTGCTTTCAAACCCAGGACAACTGTTTTTATGGGACAGCTGGAATGCCACTTCTACCCATGACGTTTTTTTAGTTCTTAATGAAAAGGCAAAAATAATGAAACCTCATCCATTCATGACCTGTTTATCAAGGCAGCTTCATCAATGATGAACACTGCCATGTGTCTCTGTGGTTTAGCATGCAGCGTGTCAGTCACATTAGGGACAGGATCTTAGATGTCAAATTGGTACCTGCAAAATTAATTTGGCAGCTGCACAAGACATCCAGGAATCCTCTGTGCATTTTTTTTTTCCTGCATCTGAACACAGTATTTATGATACCTTCCCCCCGCCTCCCTAAATTCAGCACACTGTGAAGCCAGTATAAATTTTGATGCTGATGACTAGCAGAAGCAAGAGAGCTCGAAGAGCATTAGCTGCTGTACCCCAGGGAGAAAGCGTGCACTGCTAGTTGTTATTGAAACAATAATAGACTTGTTGCACAGAAGATTTCATATGTTGATTACCCAGACAAGAGCAAGGTCCTGGCAAGTCCCTGTATTGCTTCATTGACAATCCAGAGAGGAAAAGATGCATTCCTGAATGCTGAACTGAAGAGTTCTCTGGTTGTGAAAATAAGAAGAGCCTTGGTTCTGTGCTGTGGATTAACGGTGCAGAGTGCTCTGAGCATCACTGCCTCCAAAGCCACAGAGCTGTGAAATAACGTTTGCTTATGCAGGATAGCAGTGCATCTTTCAAGCCAGCGCGAGTAGATGGGATGAGAGCATGCGTGGCTCCTGGACGTGCCAGCACGGTCAGCCTACAGCCATCTTCAGATCCCCCCAGACCACACAAGGCCTGACAACAGGCAACAGCAAAAGTGCAGCCAGCTCAGGAGCAATAACCACTGCCGCTGAAGGAGGTAACTGGCCTTTTTTGGAGGCCCCAGTAAGAGTGCCACTGGGCTGACACAGTTTTGGCTAGGTCAACGTGACTAAGCCAGCCTCTGTAGCAATAACTGTTAAAACATGATGATCGCTGCTCAGGTTGGGAAACTACAATTGCTTCATCTCGAAACCGAACAGGCCACTTTCTGTTGTGTTTACTTATGGAAGAAAGTCTAAAAGCCACAGCTTTGCCTGACCTTTCACTTTGTCGGTCACTACAATGAAAATGAAAGACAGTTTGTTTGTACAGATGTATTTTTTTTTTAAGAAACTCTTGATTACAGCCAAAGGAGGGAGGCATCTTTCTGGCAGTGGAGGAACATGGATTAAGGTGTGAAAGGCAGCTGGATGGCTGAGTGGTAATAATCTCTCATTTTCTGTTTCTCAGGAATCTGATCGTTTCTCAGGAATCTGAACATTTCTGGATTAACTTTTTTTTATTTTTGCTAGCAGTCCACAGAATTTAGGGGAATTGCAATTCATTCCTTGAAAACATGAGTAATGCCTACAAAGGGCTTCCTCCTCAGTGCTGAGCTATTTTCATTAAGAACTGGTTATTCTTTCCTGGAAAAGAAACTGAGTTTACAATTAAAAATATACAAATAGAGCTTTGTTTTGTGTGCAATATAAATATTCAAATACTCGTGTGTTTTTTAATGCAAGTATAAAATTAATAAATGAGAGCAGATTTTATTGCACATTGTCCTGCAAGCTTTAAATGTCCAAAAGGCATTATGCTTTGATTTATAATGAGGCTGGGGTTTGGGGTTAGTTTTTTTTTTTTCCTGAGAGGCAGCATATCTATTGCCATCATTACTAAACAATGGACTATTTAAAGCATAACAGATGGTCAATGGGAGATGCTCCTTCCTTTCTTGTGTGTTCGGAATACCATTTGGTTTTTTTCTTATAAAGAACAGGAAAAAAAATTGTGATTTGAAAATAAATGTAGATTTTTTTTTTTCTTGCTGATAGTGTGTATGTATATGATTATACACTGACTTTTGTCAAGTTTTGAGCTAATAAGCTGTAAGTGAGTGCAATTCTGAGAAGTATGAAGAAAGCACACTTGTGCTGTGCAGATCATTGTAAAAATTATCTTTTCTTCTTGGGTGCAGGGCATGCTATTCTTGCACACCAGAAATTGTGGCAAATACCCAGGCTGCTTTACAGCTGAAGAAAATAGCAAAGAACAGTCAAGGGGTAGAAAATATTTATAGTACATCTTCTCCGTATTGGAGGAGAAGGTTTGATGGCTTATAAAGTTGAATTTTCAATCTGGAAAAGTTTAGGGGGGAAAAAAAAATCTCTTTGCCTTTGAAACGTTATTATCCAAAATGCATGTAACAAGACCAAAGTTTTTAGTAACCTGCAGGGAAGCATCTTTTTGCTCTTGTAACTTAAAAGAACAATTTCTTATATTGATAAATTCATAGCAAACCCAGGAGATTGATTGTATATATAAGTTCGGCTGTTGTGGGCAGGAATGTGTTCCCTGTGAAAACCGGAGACTTCATTTTCCAAGTGGAGAAGAGGGGAGTGGGTTTATGTCACACAGTTCATCCTGAGGAAGGATGCAAAGAGCCTTCACGCCCGATGGGCGCAGCTTGATTGCTGGAGGCAAGGTCAGGGTTTGACAAAAGACCTCAGTGTGGCCTCTAAACCACAGCCAGGCCATGTACTTAGGGGCTCCAAACTACAACAGAAAACCATCTGTCTGTACATGAATTTAAGCAGTGTTACCCTTAGACTCATGGATATGGGCTTCTGTGGCTTGCTTTGAGCCTCCTGTAGTGCTTTTGGCCCTAGCTCCGCTCATTGACAATACATGTTCAAGGAACCTTTGGGGATGTCCGAATGTGCCATGTGTATAAGCATTGTATTAAAGCTGCTAAATTTTACATGGTTTTGGTGAAAGGTATGGTTTGTGCGACTCCAGATGAGCGAAGTGCATAGGTTGGTTCCTGCCAGGCTCCTACATTAGATGAGCAAGTGAAAGAGGAGGCACGTGAAGCTGGAGTGTGAGAGGGATCTCATTTGGGTGGAATGAGGGTTGTGGGGGCAAATCATGAAACAACATGCATGGGAGAGCAATCGTGAATGAATGGTTAAGCCAGAGTAGTGCAGACTGGAAGAATATGCGTGTCCCTTTCCTATTTCTTCTTTAACCTTGATGAGTTAGGGGCCTGCTTTGTGCTTACGTCAGTTTATACCCTTGTGTATCCATATGGATGTCCTTTCCGTGTTTTTCAAAACAATGATGTCTTGCAAAGTTTCCAACTCCCACTTGAGTAAATACATTTTAAGAAGGAAAACTAGAAAAATCCATTGGCGTCATCGTACAAACAGCGTCATTTCTCAGGCATGCACAAAACATATGACCTTACCCTTTTATTTTCTATTTGCTTTGTTGCTCATCTGAAGTAGAAGGTGCTATGAATGCTTGTGTTGATTTCCAGGTTTAGATTGAAAACTTGCTGAAAAGAGGAACAGGGCATTTTAAAAAGCATGCTGTTTGGATAACTAAGCCTGTAGTCGTCTTTAAAATGAACTTTCACCAGCAAATTGCTTTTCCTGTTATCTTGGTTATTCATTGTTTTTAGCATTGCATGCTGGAATGAAATCTGCACAGACTTCACATTCCGCATGAAGAAAACCTTGACAGACGGTGAGTGTAAGTCATCAGACTGATCTGTCATCAGACTGATCTGCAGTCTCTCTTCTCATTTTAGGAAGAACTTACTGAAGTATCTGTGCAATGTTTAGGAGTTGGATTGATTCCTTTTTTATACATACTTTAATTTTGGTTGGCTTTTGCGACTAGCACTGTGATGCTTATATCAGCTCTGCTGGATACTACGCAGGGGAGATGAGGC